TCCGCTGACCCCCGCCTCACAGACCCCCCTCGCAGACCCCCCCCTCGGACCCCGCCCTCTGGTACCCCCCGTCGCAGACCCCCCCTCTGGGACCCCCCCCCTCGCAGACCCCCCCTCTGGGACCCCCCCTTCACAGACCCCCCCTCGCTGACCCCCCCTCGCTGACCCCCCCTCTCTGACCCCCCTCTGAGCGGATTACATGTTGATTCCACTTGGTAGCGGATTACAACTTGATGCCTTTAGTCGGGCGGGCGGGCGGGACATTAAAGGCATTGATTGCTTGCTTGTGTTGTGGATTACCAATTGCTTCCCGTTGGTACCGGATTACGAGTAGATTCCATTTGTGGCGGATTACAAGCTGATTCCTTTTGTCGGGCGGGCGGGCGGGACATTAAAGGCATTGATTGCTTGTGTGGCGGATGGCAAACTGATTCTTATTGTGGCAGATTACACATTGATTCCTTTTGTCTGGCGGGCGGGCGGGACATTAAAGGCAATGATTGCTTGTTTGGTGAATTGCGAATGGATTCCCTTTGGCAGCGGATTTTAGGCTTATTCCTTTGGTCGGGCGCCTTTTGCCTGGCGGGCGGGCGGGACATTGAAGGCAATAATTGCTTGTGTGGTGAATTACAAATGGATTCCCTTTGGCAGCGGATTGCAAACTTATTCCTTTGGTCGGGCGGGCGGGCGGGACATTAAATGCATTGATTGCTTTCGTGGCGGATTACAAAGTGATTCCATTTGGCAGCGGATTGCAAGTTGATTACTATTATGGCGGATTACAAGCTGATTCCTTTTGTCGGGCGGGCGGGCGGGACATTAAAGGCATTGCTTGCTTGTGTGGCGGATTACACAGACTGAAAGCCCTAGGATTCCCAAGGATAGGCCCTACTGGACACCCTAGGGTAGCCCTAGGGTACCCCTAGGGGTAGGCCCCAGAGGTAGCCCTAGGGTAGCCCTAGGGGTAGGCCCTAGGGTAGACCCTAGGGGTAGGCCCTAGGGGTAGCCCTAGGGTAGCCCTAGGGGTAGGCCCTAGGGGTAGCCCCAGGGTAGCCCTAGGGGTAGGCCCTAGGGTAGCCCTAGGGTAGCCCTAGGGGTAGGCCCTAGGGTAGCCCTAGGGTAGCCCTAGGGGTAGGCCCTAGGGGTAGCCCTAGGGTAGCCCTAGGGGTAGGCCCTAGGGGTAGCCCCAGGGTAGCCCTAGGGGTAGGCCCTAGGGTAGCCCTAGGGTAGCCCTAGGGGTAGGCCCTAGGGTAGCCCTAGGGTAGCCCTAGGGGTAGGCCCTAGGGGTAGCCCTAGGGTAGCCCTTCCTTGGGTGATCTATAAGCAAGAGGGGGGGCGTCCAAGAGGGAGGGGCGCTAATCATGGCCGGCTGCACGTGCGCGGCCCAGGGGGGGAGGCTGGGGACGCACTGAAACAAGAGGAGGTGCCAAGAGATATGGGGAGATGTTATGGCCCCCGCCATGATCTCCACCCTCCACCCTTGTCATCACCCCCCTCTTGGCCGCCCCCGAGACAATCGGACCTCTCGCCATCGCTCGGACGTCCCTTCCCCTTGCACGATTGGATGTCGAGCGTGTTTTTTTCTGTCGCTCGATGATCCAGGATGCTCCTCGATGGCCCTCGCCGAGCAAACATGCACACGGCCGAGCGCTGCCGAAAAACCTCTGGTGGCGACCCGAGGCGATCCGGGCACCCTCCCTCCAGGCCGTAACCCTCTCCACGCGCTGAAAAAAAGAAGGGGCCGCCGCAGATCGCATGACACGGCAGACACCCCCACTGCGTCCGCCAGTCCAGTTACCCCCCCCGAGGGTGAGACGCGGAGGATCGAGGAAGAGGAGGGGAAGGAGAAGTCATCCTCCTCCTCCTCCTCCTCCTCCTCCTCCTCCTCCTCCTCCCCCTCCTCCTCCCCCTCCTCCTCCTCCTCATCCTGCATTCCTTGTCCTTATAAATAGCTTTTCCCTGTCGCACCTTGAGACCAATCTTTTGGGCGGGCCGGGCGTTTTCGCCTGAAACTTCCTGACCACTTATGACTCTGAAGCTTAAAAAGTGGCAACAGTTTCATTGATGGAGGGCGGGTGGTTTTCAATACGTAGGTGGTTCTCGCCCTAGCGGGGCGCACATACTTTTTAAGAACTTGCAAGGGGCGGGTGGTTTTCAAAATGTGGCTCTCGCCGTATCGCCGCGCACTTTCGATTTAAAAATTTGCAAGAGATTCACGGATTGAGGGCGGGTCGTTTTCAAAATGTGGCTCTCGCCTTAGCGCGGCGCACATTCGTTTTCAAAAATCTGCAAGAATTGAACGGATTGAGGGCGGGTGCTTTTCAAAATGTGGCTCTCGCCTTGGCGCCGCGCATATTCGTTTTCTTTAAATTTGCAAGAGCTTCACGGATTGAAAGCGGCTCCTCTTCAAAATATGGTTCTCGCCTAAGCGCGGCGCAAAATTTGCCAGAGTTTCACGGATTCCCATCATCAACATACGAAAAAAGATGTGTTGGACATCTGCACGGCCATGCGGGTGCAACTGTTAAGTTGATTCTCTGTGTTGGAGTCCTAGGGATAGCATTCTGGCACAATTCAGGATCGTCAAAACGCAACAGTCAGGAATCCCGAGAACAATGTTTTGGCATGCTTCAGGATCTTCAAACGGATGTCTTCCAACGAGGCAGTTCCCCGAATGGAAATGAACCTTTGTAGGGGCCTATGAAGAGGGAGTTTGGAGGGAGGGTTTACTCCAACATCGTTGATGACTCTTGGGCTTACTGTGGTCCTCCTCCTCCTCCTCCTCCTCGAGGCGATCCGCGCGCGGCTGGTACTCGGCCTCCCTCCCTCCGCCCTGCCCCCCGGGAGCGCCCCCCGGTCCCAGGCCCAGGCCGGCGAGCACGGGCGCCGCCCACGCGGCGGCTGGCTCCTATGCCGCTCGCCCCCGCCGCGGGGGAGAAAACGACGACGGCGACGGCGACGACGGCGACGGCGACGGCGGCGGCGGCGGCGGCGGCGGCAACAGCGACGGCGACGGCGACGGCGACGACGACGACGAGGACGACGAGGACGAGGAGGGAATGGAGGACGCACCGGCCGAGATCGCCTGCCCCTGAGGGGGGCGGGTGCCTCTGCGGCGGCAGCCCCTCTGAGGGGGGAGGGTGCCTCTGAGGGGGAAGGGTGCCTCCGAGGGGGGAGGCTGCCTCTGAGGGGGGAGGCTGCCTCTGCGGCGGCAGCCCCCTCTCCCGCACGCCTCGCGCCGCCGATTTAGCCACGAGGTGCGGGCCCCGCGCGCCCTGGGCCGAGAGGGGCCCGCCGGCGGAGGCTCGGCCCTGCGGGTGCGTCCTGCGGCTCGCCCGCTGCGGCTCGGGCGCCCTCTCCGGGCCAGGGCCGCGCGAGCTGTCGCGATCAAGAGCTCTCACGCTCGGCTCGCCCGCGTTGCCTTCTGCGTTTTCCCCGCCCTCTCCTCTTGAGCCCTCCCGGAGGGGGGAGGCGGGAGGGGAGCGGAGGAGGTGATCTGCTCGGCAGGAGGGCGCGCCGTGCCCCGCAGCGCCGTCGGGAGCGGAGGGAGGAGGGGGGAGAGATGCCCAGGAGCGGCGTGAGGAAGGGAGGGAGGGGGGGAGGCAAGCAGAGGAGGGAGGAGGAAAGGAGGGAGGGAGAGCCACATTTTGATTACCACCCGCCCTCCATCTGTGAAACTGTTGCCACTTTCCAGGCTTCAGAGTCATAAATAATGAGGAAGTCTCCGGCAAAACGCCAGGCCCGCCCTAAAAACTGGCCTCGGGGTGCGACAGGGAGAAATCATGTATAAAGGAATGGAGGAGGAAGAGGAGGAGGAGGAGGAGGCAGGAAAGGAGGAGGGAAGGAACGGACGATGATAAGAAGGATCAAAAGTCGGGCTTCGGAGCTATGGTGTCATGAAGGGTGCTTGACAAACGACGAAGGCCATCTCAGGGGCTCGCGCTGGCTGGGCGGCGAGGGGGAGCTCGGCTGGCTGGGGGTGGGGGGCGCGGTGCTGGTGCAGTGCGTGCGTGCCGCAAAACAGCGGTCGGGACGGAGGGGGCGCGTCGGCTGTGGGGCAAGGGGGGACTGGGCTGGCTGGGGGCGGGGGGGGGCGCGGCGCCAGTGCCGTGCGTGCGTGCCGAAAGAAAGCGGTCGGGGCAGGGGCGCGTCGGCTGGGGGGCGAGGGGGAGCTGGGCAAACTGGGGGGCGGGGTGGGCGGTGCCAGTGCCGTGCGCGCGCATGCCGAAAGGAGTGGTCGGGGCGGCGGGGGCACGCCGCAGGGGGGGCGAGGGAGAGCTGGGCTGGCCAGGGGGGAGGGCGAGTGCCGGTGCTGTGCGCGCGTGCCAATACACTGGTCGCAGCGGGAGTGGCGCGCGGGCTGGGGGGCGAAGGGGAGCTAGGCTGGCTGGGAGGGAGGGGCTGCGCGGTGCTGGTGCTGTGCGTGCGTGCCGAAAGAAAGCGGTCGGAGTTCTAGACACCCTGTGCAAGAGAATAACGTTACTGCTGCCATTGTTAAAGCTCTTCTTCACCCATCCGTCTCATGTTACATGCTCCTCCTGCTCCTGCGTCTCCCGCTCCTCCTCCATATCCTCCTTCTCCCTCCCCATCCCCCACTGCTCCTCTTCTTTCTCTTCCTCCTCTTCTTCCTCTTCCTCTTCCTCCTCCTCCTCCTCCTCCTCCTCCTCCTCCTCCTCCTCCTCAATATCATCATCACCACCATCGTCATCATCAGCAGCAGCAGCAGCAACACCAGCACTGGCACCAGCACCGCCACCATCAGATTACCTCCACCAGAACCACCACTAACATCATCAGCAAGAACAACATCATCGCCGCCATCACCTACCATCATCCTCATCCTCATCTCATCCTCATCCTCATCCTCATCAGCCATCATCATCATCACCATCATAATCACCAGCATCAGCATCAGCATCAGCATCAGCATCATCATCATCATCATCATCATCATCATCATGATCATCATAATCATCATCATCATCATCATCATCATCATCATCATCATCATCATCATCATCATCATCATCATCATCATACTCATCACCCTGACCACCATCATCATCAACAACATCATCATTAGCATCATCAGCATCAGTAGCAGCTGCATCCTCATCCTCATCCGCATCGTCATCATCATCATCATCATCATCATCATCATCATCATCATCATCATGACCACCACCATCATCATCATCACCACCACCACCATCATCATCAGCAGCATTAGCAGTAGCAGCATCATCATCATCATCAGCAGCAGCCTCAGCATCATCATCATCATCAGCATCATCAACATCATCATCAACAACATCATCATCCTCATCATCATTGTAAATATAATTATTATGATCCTCATCTTCATCATCATCAGCAGCATCCTCATTACCGCCACCACCACCCTAACAATCACCACCACGATAATCAGAATCATGAACATCACCATCATTATCATCATCACCGGCATCATCGTCATCGTTATCGTCATCAGTATCATCAGTATCATCATCATCATCATCATCATCATCATCATCACCATCCTCATCATCATCATCAGCATCATCATAATGATCCTCAACATCATATCTGATTCTTCAACAGCAACAGCACCATCATAATCGTCGCTGTCATGATAGCCATGATCAGCAGCAGGCACGTCAGCATCATTATCAGCATCGCCATCATCATCATCAGCAGCATTCTTATCATCAGCGGCGGTTGCATCATGATCACGGTCATAACCATGATCGTCATCATCATCATCACCATCAGCATCATCATCACCATTACCATTACCCGTCATCATCATCCTCCTCCTCCTCCTCCTCATCATCATCATCATCTGCAGCATCATCCTCATCATCGCCACCACCACCAAAACCATCACCACCACCATAACCAGAATGATCAACATCACCATCGGCATCAGCAGCATCAGTATCACCGGCATCATCGTTATCGTCATCATCATGATCCTCAGCATCATCATCGTCATCATCATCGTCATCATCATGATCCTCAGCATCAGATTTGATTCATCGTCAGCAAATCGAGGTGGTCATAATAATCACCAGCAGCAGCAACGTCAGCATCATCATCATCATCAGCATCATCATCACTAGCATCATCATGATCATGATCATCATCAGCGGTCACGATCATCACCATCATCAGCATCATCATCACCATCATCATCAGCATCATCAGCATAAGCATCGTCATCATCATCTGTGTCGTCGCCGTCAGCATCATCATAACTGGAGTCATCTTCTTCATCATCTCTATCACCATTCATCACCAACATCATCACAACCAGCATCGCCACGACCATCATCGTCAGCATCATCCACATCATCAACGTCCGCGACAGCATCGTCATCATCACCAGGATCATCACACACATAGTCGGCAACAGCGGCATCATCATCATAATCAGCAGCAGAAGCATCACCAACATTGGTATCATCATCCTCATCTCCGTCATCATCAAAATCATCAGCAACAGCAACAGTACCATCCTCGTTACCATCAGCGCCGTCATCACCACCACCACCATCATCACCATCATCACCATCATCATCAGCATCATCACCATCATTATCATCACCCTCATCATCATCATCATCATCATCATCATCATCACCATCATCGTTATCATCAGCAGCACCAGCATCATCCTCATCCCCCCCCTCCCCTCATGCTGTGCCACCCCCCGTCCTCCCAGATCCACCCCCTCCTCCTCATCATCCTCTTCATCTTCCTTCTCGTCCTGCTCCGCTCCTTCCCCTCGTGCCTCCTCCTCGCTATCGCTCGCGCGTTCTCTTCATGTATGGTTTTCTCCCTCGCTCTCTCTCTCTCTCTCTCTCGCTCTATCTCTCTTTCTGTCGCTCTCTCTCTCTCTCTCTCTTCCTTCGGCATGCCAGCGGAATGAGCCCGTGACATCAACCTCCACACTCCTTCTCCTGTTCCTGCTCGGCTTCATCAACCTCCTCCTCATCTTCCTCCGCCTCCGCCGCCTCCTCCTCCCCCTCCTCCTTCTCATATGTCCCCTCCTCCTCCTCATCCTCCTCCTACTCCTCCTCCCCCTCCCCTTCAACAGCTGTCCTCCAAACTCTCCAGGAGTGCGTTTTGACCATAGCGACGAAAATCCACAAACATCTAGAAACCTGCGACCGCCTCCGCCTCCTCCTCCGCCTGCTGCTCCTCCTCCTCCTCATCCTGTTCCTCCTCTTCCTGATCCTCCTCCTCCTCCTCCGCCTCCGCCTCCGCCTCCGCCTCCGCATCCGCCTCCACCTCCGCCTCCGCCTGCGCCTGCGCCTGCGCCTACGCCTCCGCCTCCGCATCCACGTCCTCCTCCTCCTCCTCCTCCTCCTCCTCATCCTCCTCCTCCTCCTCCTCCTCCTCCTCCTCCTCGTCATCCTCCTCCTCCTCCTCCTCCTCTTCCTCCTCCTCCTCCCCTTGTTCATCCTCCTCCTCCTCCTCCTCCTCCTCCTCCTCGTTCTCTTCCTCCTCATCATCCTCCTCCTTCTCCGCATCCTCTTCCTCATCCTCCTCCTCTTCCTCCTCCTCCTGACCCTGCCGCCTTGGATTTCGAGGAATATGTCCCTTTGCCCGTGCCCTGACCACCTTAGGCCTTGCCATCCTTCTTCCCGCCAGATCTGCGACCTCTCATGACAAACAAACGAAGAAGAGGTACAATGTGCTCCCTCCGCAGCCCTGTGGCCCAGGATGAACGGATGCAGAAAGAGGCCGAAAGGCGCTGCGCCATTCGAGCCCTTACACCTCCCGAGAGAGGGAAATGGCCTTGAGCCAGGAGGCCACGGACCTCCTCCTCCTCCTCCTCCTCCTCCTCCTCCTCCTCCTCCTTCGCCTCCGCCTCACTCCCCCTCCGCTTCCTCCTCCTCCTCCTCCACCTCTTCCTCCGCCTCCGCCTCCGTCTCCGCCTCCTCCTCCGCCTCCCTCCTCCTCCTCATCCTCCTCCTCCTCCTCCTCCTCCTCCTCCTCCTCATCATCATCATCATCATCATCATCCTCACATCATCATCATCATCATCAATCATCATCATCATCTCAGCATCAGCATCATCATCATCATCATCAGCATCGCATCATCAGCATCATCAGCATCATCACATCATCATCATCATCATCATCATCATCTCATCATCATCATCATCATCATCATCATCATCATCATCATCATCAGCATCATCAGTATTCTCCGCCTCCTCCTCCTCCTCCTCCTCCTCCTCCTCATTCTTCTCCTCCACCTCCTCTCCCTCATCATCTTCCTCCTCCTCCCGCTCCTCCTCCGCCTCCTCCTCCGCCTCCGCCGCCTCCTCCTCCTCCTCCTAATCCTCCTCCGCCTCCTCCGCCTCCGCCTCCGCCTCCCCCTCCGCCTCCTCCTCCTCCGCCTCCTCCTCCTCCGCCTCCCTCCTCATCCTCCTCCTCCTCCTCCACTCCTCCTCCTCTTCCTCCTCCTCCTCCCTCGCCTCCGCCTCCACCTCCGCCTCCGCCTGCGCCTCCGCCTCGTCCTCCTCCTCATCCTCCTCTCCTCCTCCTCCTCCTCCTCCTCCTCCTCCTCCTCCGCATCCTCCTCCGCCTCCTCCTCCTCCTCCTCCTCCTCCTCCTCCTCCTCCTCCTCCTCCTTCTCCTCCGCCTCCTCCTCCCTCCTCCTCCTCCTCCACCTCCTCCTCCTCATCATCCTCCTCTTCCTCCTCCTCCTCCTCCTCTTCCTCCACCTCCTCCTCCTCCTCCTCCTCATCCTCCTCCTCCAGCGCCAGCTCGGCCCAGGTGCCCCCGAGCGCCTGCGAACCAGCGCCAGGAGGCCGCCCGGGCCTCTCACTTCCCTTCCAGGAGCTTCCCGCCCTCGCTCTCCCTCGCCGCGGGATGGTGGCGCCTCCGTGGTGCTCGGGGGCGGGGCTGCCGAGGCGCCCCAGCCGCACGGCTGCCGAGAGGCGGGCCCAGGCACGGAGGGCGCAGGCTCGCGCTGCCCAGGCAATGCTCAGGGCCTTCGGCGGCCTGGCGCACCGCTGGTGCCGCCCCACGCGGATGGGGGCGGCCCTCCGCGACGCGCTGCGCGCGGGGCAGGGCGGCGCCCAGGGCGGCGAGCAGGCGGACAAGGGCTGCGAGGACGGCTCGGAGGCGGTGTTCAAGCAGTTGAACAGCGGCAAGGTTGCCGTGGGCAGGGAGTTCGGCAACAACAACCTGGACGAGAAGGGCGCTGAGGAGGCATTCAAGAAGAAGGAGGCAGTGCTCAAGAAGTTGAACAGCGGCAAGGATGCTGTGGGCAAAGAGTTCGGCAACGGCAAGCTGGACGTGAAGGGCGCAGAGGAGGCGTTCAAGAAGAACAGCGGCAAGGATGCAGTAGGCAAGGAGTACGGCAACGGCAGCGTGGTGCTGGCCGAGTGCGCCGACGCCGATGGCGACACCGAGGAGGTCGAAAACCCCGTCGACCATGATGCCGTGGTACTGCTGCTGGAACAGGAGCTGCTGGAGGTCGAGAGGGAGGCCGCGCTGGTCGATGGGCGGGCCGAGGGCGTCGGGCCAGGCGGCCTCGCCTGGGGCGCCGTCGCCCCGTCGCCGAACCACTGCAAGCAGCAGTGAAGGAGCCCCCCGCCTGAGGCCGCCAGGGCCAGAGCCCGCGGGGCTCACGCGCGCCTCGGGCGCGCGGGTGGGTCGCGTCGGCATCGATCGGCGCGCTTCCTGCTTCGCTCTCATCTCATCTCATATCATCTCCTCCTCCTCCTCCTCCTCCTTCTCCTCCTCCTCCTCCTCCTCCTCCTCCTCCTCCTCCTCCTGATCCTCATCCTTATCCTCCTCCTTCTCCTGCTCCGCCTCCTCCTCCGCCTCCTCCTCCTCCTCCGCCTCCTCCTCCTCCTCCTCCTCCTCCTCCGCCTCCTCCTCCTCCTCCTCATTCTCCTCCTCCTCCGCCTCCTCCTCCTCCTCCTCCTCGCCTTCCACTTCTCCTCCTCCCGCCCCCCAAACCCCTTCCCCACACACCGATTCATCCCGGCTTCCCCTTCCCCACCGATTCCCCACCCCCTTCCCCAACCCCTCCACCCTCCTCTCCTCCGACTATCTAGCGACCACCGCTGTCAGGGAGCGTCCTCCGCCGCGCCAGCCGCAGTGGACCGAGAGGCCGCTGCAGCTTGGACTGCGCGGGCGCGCGCGAGCACGCGCTCGTCTCCCGATGGGAGGGGCCCACACCTCCAGGGGCTCGAAGAGATCGAGCCTAAAACCCCTGATGCTCCTCCGATGCTTTCTCGCCTCGGGACGCGTGCGAGCAGCTGCGCCTCGCCGAGAGCGTCCAGGGGGTGTCCGCCCGAGGTCTGAGTTGGAACCCGAGGAGCATACCTCCGGAGGTTCCAGAACATGGAGCGCCACGCTCTGTTCGGAGTGGGCTCAACATGTGCAGCCTCCAGAGGCCAGAGTCGGACCCTGCCGGCGACTCCGAGGGGCGCGGTTTTAGGGCGACGAGATCTATGCATATCCACTGCTCCTGGCCAGGCCCATCCTGGGCCCAGGAGCTGTGTATATGCCTCCCTGGCCAGGCCAGGAGGGCGTATACACCGCTCCTGGGCCCGGGATTGGCCTGGCCAGGAGCAGTGGATATGCATAGATCTCGTCGCCCTAGGTTTGCAGAGGGTGTGGTTTCTGCATCTGTACCCTGTGGGACACCCGGAGGGGCGGGCGGGGACTCCGCCGAGCCTCGGGGAGGCCCAACGAGGCCAGCGTCGTGAGCCCCAGGCCCCAGCGGCGCCGATCGCAAACCACAGCCTGGCGCAACCACACCCTTTGCAGTCGCCGACTCTGGGACTCTCAAGAAACGCATGTCGCCGAGCGCGTTCCACTACTCGCAAAGTGCCTACTTGCAAACGTCCTGACAAAAACATGTCTTCCGTTTATGTAATTTACACTAAATCCCCCGCAGCGGAACCAGGCCATTTGCGAGTAACTTTGCGAGTAGTGGGACGCGCTCGTCGAGCATGGGGGGAAGAAAATCCTGCCCTGGGGCCCGGAGACTCGAAAATACCAAGTCGCCGGAGCTATGGGGCGAACCCTGCTCCTGCAGGTCAGATTTCTCGAACGCCGGCGGGGGTTCAGAACATGAGGGTGTCTGCAGCGAAGCTGGACCCCAGCGGGGGTGCCCGATACCACAGCGCCGCCTGGGCCCGCAGCGGTAGGGTTCGACTGTGGTCGCAGAACCACCGCAACAATGAAAGGCTTGCCATGAGTCGAGTAAATACGCAAATCATCGACGGCAACTTTCGGCGGTCCGCGCGGACTTCCTGGCCGGAGCTGGGCACCCCCTGGCGGCGCCTCTGGCGGCGCCTCTGGAGGCGCCTCTGGAGCGTTCCGCGCGCTAAGAAAAGAGTCCAGCGACGACCTTAGACATCCGCGTGGACCTCCGAACATGCATGTTTATGCCGATCTCTCTGGTTGTTTCGTCCTCCTCCCCTCAATGTCCTCCCCCCTCGCCTCCGCCGCCGCCGCCGTCGTCGCCGTCGGTGTCTGCACGGCGTTTCTGATCTCGGAGCCGCGCCTTCGGCAGCGGAACTTGGCGTTGCACTTATTTGCCAACGCACCTCTGACGTGCACGGTTCCCCTGTCTGTCTCTCTCTCTCTCTCTCACTCTCTCTTTTTCTCTCTCTCTCTCTCTTTCTCTCTCTCTCTCTCTCTTTCTCTTTCTCTTTCTCTCTCTCTCTCTCTCTCTCTCTCTCTGGGGAAGATCCGAAGAAGGACCCGAAGAACTACGAGCCCATTTCGAAACCCAAGTGAACCCAAATGAACTGCGAACTCTCTTTGACCCCGGCATCTGAACACCACCACCGTGCCTGGCCAGGGCCGTCCTGAGCTCTGCCCTGGCGGGCAGACTCTCCTGGCCTCGGCCACGAGGGCGAACGCACCTTGTTGGGGCCCAGGATGGCCCTGGCCAGGCACGGTGGTACGCAGGAGCAGCGCATACACCCTGAGGGGGCTCGCCGCCGCAGCTGCCCCTGCCCCATCCCTTTTCACACCCTCTCCAAATCCTCTCCTCCACCTTTTCCTCCTCCTCCTCCTCGTCCTCCTCCTCCTCCTCCTCCTCCTCCTCCTCCTCCTCCTCCTCTCCCTCCTCCTCCTATTAGTTTCCTTTTGTTTAGTTTTAGTAGTATTAGTCTTCTTATTATGAGTATTATCATTGTTCTACATATTAATAATATGCATAGTATGCTTCATATTCTTCGTATTATTACTATGAGTCGTATTGTTATTCGTAATAGTATGCGTATTATTATTAATGTTATTATTAGTATTATTAATCGTATTCGTATTCTTCTTATTCTTCTCAATTGTAGTAGTATTAACATTAGTAGTAGTAGTAGTAGTAGTAGTAGTAGTAGTAGTAGTAGTAGTAGTAGCATTCGTAATCGTCTTAGTAATAATATTATTACTATTAGAATTATTGGTATATTCGGTATTCGTAGCCTTGTTCTTATTATTGGTACTATTCATCTTATTATGATTGATACTACTAGTTTTATTCGTAGTGGTAGTTATACCAGTATAAATAGCATGAGTATTAGTATGACTGCTTGTTCGTATTACTACTACGACTACTACTATTAGTAATACGATTAATAATATTACTAATATTATTAGTATTCAACTTCTTAATCATGTTCGTCTGTTTCTTCGTATGATTATTCTTCTCACCATTAGTAGTATTAGCATTATTCGTCTTCTTAGTTTTCTTATTATTCTTACTATTATTGTTATGTGTTGCCTGCTTAATATAAGTATGACTCTTCTTATTCGTAATACAACTATTACTATTATCCTGGTTATTCGTATTATTATTCTTTGTGTTATCATTCTTATTATTAGTGTTATTGTTATTACGATAGTTACTATTATTACTGTTGTTATTATTACTAGTATTGTGATTCGTCTTCTTCTTGTTTTTCCTCCTCCTCCTCCTCCTTCTCCTCCTCCCCTTCATATTATTATCCTTCTTCGTATTTTTACGATTACTGTTGACGTGTTCGTATTATGAATATTAGTATTCGCGTTCGTCTTATTAGGATATGTATGATTATGTTTATGTGTGTTCGTGTTATTTTTACTAGGTATACCATTTTTGTTCTCATTACGATTCACATTACTACGATTTTTCTTTTTATTGATCGCATTACTCTTCATTGCATTGCGATTCTTATTCTTTGTCATCGTAATATGATTAATAATAGTATTGTTCGTATTCCTCCTTCTGTTCCTCCTCCTCCTCCTCCGCCTCCTCCTCCTCCTCCTCCTCCTCCTCCTTTGGTTCACTAGTGAGTTCAAAGCTCATGCAATGCACAAGGATGAACCAAAATATGGATGGGCGAGCCGCTCTGCCCTGCCGCAGACGGGGCCCGCCTCCCTGGGCGCCTCGTTCCACGAGGCCCGCCTCCCTGGGCGGCGCCTCGGTCGAAATCCTCCTCCCTCTTTCTCTGTTCCCTCAAATATCCTCCCCTTGAGAACTTGGCAGGCTGCGGGAACTAGCCGGCTCTTGCATTTTGCGTTTGGGGAGGGAGGAGGAGGAGGAGGAGGAGCGCAGCGAAAAGCGTGCGGGTCTGACAGCTACTTGAAGCTGCTGGTAGGCAACTGCATGGGCATCTTCGTGCCTCTCCGCAGTAGCCCTCAGCTCTCTCCGTCCAAACCCAAGCCCCAATCCTCGAGACCCTGCTCGACTGCATCGACCGTCCCTTATGGAAGGGCGGGGGGTGGGCGAGGGGAGGGAGGATAAAAATGAAGTGGAGGGCGAATGAAACAGGAAAGCCGACGTAGACAAAACAGGAACAGAGTGTGCATATGCTGAACTCATGTGGCTCTCATGTGTCCAAGCCGTGGATCGCAACTCATCACACAGTAATTGCTCCAACTATTGCTTCTTCAGCCTCCGCAAACCTTCCAGGCCAGCCCCACACATCGCGCAGTACACCTGTCTCGATGGCGGGTGCGATTTGGCGATCGGCCGAGGCTTGATTATGCCAGCAAACGGCCTGCGCCAATACTCGTTCCCGCTGTCAGAAGATCCAATTCCCGTGGCCTGGCGGACACCCGGTCCACCTCCTCGTTAGGCAAAACGGCGTCGCAAAGGCCATCGATCTTCGCCTCTGCCCACTCGAACTTGGCAACGTGGTCCTGCTGGCCCCGCTCGAGCCTACGAACCGTTCCGAGGATGAAGGCTAGGTCACGGGCATGCGCGATGCTGGCGTCCGCCACCGTGGCCTCCATCCCTTCCAACCGAATGGTAAGCTCCGAGGTGTGGGATTGGATGGCTTGCACATCGCTCTGGAGCCGCATCATGTCTGGTAAGCACCCAATGAGATGACAGCCTCCTCCTCCTCCTCCTCCTCCTCCTCCTCCTCCTCCTCCTCCTCCTCATCCTCCTCTTCCTGCCCCCCCATCCTCCTCCTCCTCCTCCTCCTCCTCCCCTCCTCCTCCTCCTCCTCCTCCTCCTCCTCCTCCTCCTCGTCCTCCTCCTTTTCCTCCTCCCCCTCCTCGTTTTCTTCCTTTTCCTCCTCCTCCTCCGGCTCCTCCTCCTCCTCCTCCTCCTCCTCCTCCTCCTCCTCCTGCTCCTCCTCCACCAGCCCTGGCACCCCTGTGATCATTGCTGCAGGCGGACGAGGCGCGCGAGGGGAGGGAAGGTCTCGCCAGAACACGTCAAAACCTCCACGAGTCTGCGGGCGACACGCCCAGGACCCTGACCTCGGAAGGGCCGTGCTTCGCAAACAACTTCACGGACGGGGCAGGAAAGAAACAGAGCAGGCCTGGAAGGACAGCGTGGCAAACGTAGACCGGGAGCAACATGCCAGGACGGCTTGGCGGGGAAGGATGAGGCGGGGGGCGGGGGGCGGTCCTAGGAACGTCGTCACCCGCCGCCGTCGTGGACGTAGCGGTGGGCGCCGTGGCGGTTGGGGCAGGGGGTCGTCGTGGTGGCCGCGGTGGTCGTGATGGTCGTGGTGGTCGAGGCGGTGGCCGTGCTAGTTGCTTGTGGTCGCGCACCCGCCCGTCCGGGCGTCGCGGTGGCAGCGTTGGATCCAGTGGCCGTGATGGTCCTGACGGGCGTGGTGGTGGCCGGGATCTGGTCGCGCCGCCGTCGAACGCGCCGTCGGCGGGCAAGGTCGCGGCAGCCGCCGCGCTGGCGGCGCCGCCGCCCCCCCCGTGACAGCTGCCAAAGAAGTCGGACTGGCACCGCTCTGCGGCCCGCCTTTTGCGGCGACGCGCGGACCTGAGCCTTCGGCGCTCAGCAGGCGCTAAAGATCACCTCCGCGCTGCCGACGACCAGCGTGCGCTCGATGCGGCGCCACGCGGTGGCGATGACCGCCGACCGCTCCGCCGCGGGCACGTCTGCGCCGCAAAAGCGGACGAACGACACGAACTCATACGCCAGGCGCCCTCTCCCGTCTCCATGACGGCCAAGACCAGCTCGCCACCCGATGGGGGATAGCGGTTGCGCTTCACGCCCAGTCTGCGGCGCGGCCGACCCGTCGTTGTTGGAGCGTGCCTTCCTACCTCGAGGTCCCCGAAGTGCGTGCGCAGGTGCCGTAGATGGGTTGTCTGGTGGCCGCGTCGCGGGTCACCAGGTCCAGGCGGGTTTCTTCCACCTCCCCTCCCCCGTGTCTGGGTCCACGCGGTCCCCCCCCAAAAAAGACTTGGTTTCGGTGACCGCCACGTGGCCGGCCTGCGCCTGGTCGAAGGGCGCATTCCAGTCTCGGAGGATGTTCTGGCGGTGGGCACGACAGCCCCCACAATCGCACCTCAAGGGGTGCCAGCCCTTGGCGTCAAGGGGCGCACCAGAGACTGTGCCGTCTCGCTTACTTCGGGAGACTCTTCATGGGGGGGATCTCATGGGGGGATAGGATCCCAGGGGGGGATCCCATAGGATCCCCCCCCATGGAGAGTCTCCCGATTACTGTGTTGGCAGGCCGCCCCCGGCGTGCAGACGTCAGCCCAGAGGCGCTTGCGCAGCCCCACGTGGGAGTGTGCGTCAGGGATGGGCGGGTCCCCCCCTGGCGCGGGAGAAGCCACATTCCCGCCGAGGTACCGCGGCTCTCGCGCAGGGCAAGCCAGTCGTTGTCGCCCACAGTTTGCAACAGTCTCCCCCAATTGCGCGCTGAAATTCGCTTGCCCCAGTGACCCTGAAGCTTGGCCCGTGGCTCCGCCAAGTAATTCCTGCAGTCAATTGGGCCGTCCGCGGTCCTTTCGGCGCCCGGCTCGGACTCTGCGCTCCTCATGACCTGGGCAATTCGAGGACACTTGGATCGGAAGCCCGCCAGGGCGGAGAACCCGAGGCAAGTGACGACGCTGGGGAGGACGAAAACCTAGCTGCCCAAATATTCGCGCGCGGTCGTGTCTCAAGCATACGGGGAAGCACAGCCTCCTCCTCCTCCTTTTCCTCCTCCTCTTCCTCCTCCTCGTGCTCCTCCTCATCATCATCCTCCTTTTCTCCTCCTCCTCCTCCTCATCCTCATCCTCCTCCTCCTCTGGTACATGGACAAAACAATCAAAACCCTCACACATCTGAGGGGGATGTTCATCAACCCCCTGGCCCCCGACATCAATGTTGATTCTGACATAGGTGGTGGTCTGGGGGCTCGATTTTTTTGTTTGCCCATGCCCTCTCCACTGACGCACCCTTGGTCTGGGGGGGGCATCTTGGGTCGCGAGGTTCGAACTTAGTGTGCATGTACGGTCCTCCTCACCCTCCTCCTCATCTTCCTCCTCCTCGTCCTCCTCAGTTTCCTCATCCTGCTCCTCATCATCATCATCCTCCTCTTCCATTTGATTCCTGATAGATAACTCCTCCCTGTCGCACGCACCCTGAGGCAGATCAAAAGGGCGGGCCTGGCGTTTAGCATCACATGTCCCTCGCCATGTCTCACCCAAATGTTTCAAAAATGATAACTTCACAAATGGAAAGCGGGGCGTTTTGAAAATGTGGTTTTCGCCTTAGCGCCGCGCACACCCGTTGTAAACAATTGCAGGATGTTCACGGATTGAGGGCGGGTCGTTTTCAAAATGTGGTTTGTGTATTAGCGCCGCGCACATTCAATTCAAGAATTCGCAAAAGCCTCACGGATTGCGGGCGGGTCGTTTTCAAAATGCGACGTTCGCCTTAGCGCCGAGCGCATTCATTTTGAAACTGTGCAGTAATTTGACGGATGGATGGCAGCTCGATGTCAAAATGTGGTTCTCGCCTGAACGCCGCGCACACTCGTTTCGAAAACTTACCACAGCTTCACGGATTTCCGGCGTAGCCCGGATTCGTCTCGGCGGTGGACAAACCTCTCTTTAGTAAATCTCCCCCTAATGAAAACAGCCTGGGACCGAAACCGACGGACCCGGACCCGCAAAAATGACGCCCGCGACGCCCTCTCGCGAACCGATAACGGCCAATTCGCAAATCGACGTGTCAAAGTAGGAGGTCTGTCCACCTCCGATTGTTTCTCGCTAGGTAAACTGAACTGAACTGACCAGACGGGTCGCACCCGTTACGCGACGGCTCTATTTTCGGCCGCCGACGGCGCAACCTATGGCGCAACCGATAGGAGACGGTTTTATGTTCGGCCGCCGCGGGCGCAACCTATGGTGCAACCGATGAGAGACGGTTCCATTCTCGGCCGCCGACAGCGCAACCTTTGGCGCAACCGATAGGAGGCGTGTCTATTCTCGACCGCCACGGGCGCAACCTATGGCGCAACCGATAGGAAGCGGACTGATCTTCAGCCGCCGAACGTGCAATCTATGGCGCAACCGATAGGAGACGGTTCTATTCTCGGCCGCCGACACCGCAACCTATGGCGCAACCGATAGGAGGCGTGTCTATTCTCGACCGCCACGGGCGCAACCTATGGCGCAACCGATAGGA